GTATACTACTTCGTATCGGAGTCGGACTAACGAGTGGAGAGGACCACAAAGATATTCACGCACGGTGGAGATTCCTGTTACGAGCGCCTGAGCTTTTCTTGGCCATCTCAGCCGAGGCAGCAGCACTGGAAGGGGGGACGGCTTCAGTGCTCGTCATGAATAAATTACTAATGTTATAATAATAATCAGCATCGCTAGTCCCCGCAGCAGTGAACTGTATTACACGGCGTTACGGACAGCGACGCCCACCACAGAAATGACTCCCCCACAGTATGGAACCATAAAATGACCACGCTCACTGTATCAAGGTTTATAGTGTTATGGGGTGCCGGGAGAAACGTGAGATGGAAGTGCGCTGTACGCAGAGTACTGTCGATTAGAATGGCGCGCGCTGTTTGCAGCTAAGGAGAGACCGCTGTACACGCAAACTCTTACAGCAAATCTCTGTCTCATCATGCCTGCTAAGCTTGGTATCAACGGTTTCGGTCGTATTGGGCGTCTGGTCTTCAGGGCCGCTATGGAGAATCCCAATGTGACGGTGGTCGCGGTTAACGATCCCTTCATGGACATCGAATATATGCAGTATTTGCTCAAGTACGATACGGTTCATGGCAGGTTCAAGGGGGAGGTCTCCAGTGCTAACGGTAATCTTATTGTCAATGGTCAGACTATTCACTTCTTCAAGTCGAGGGACCCTGCTGAGATCCCATGGGGTCAGGCTGGTGCTGATTACGTCTGTGAGTCTACCGGTGTCTTCACCACTTCCGAAAAGGCTGGTGGACATCTTGGTGGTGGCTGCAAGAAGGTCGTCATCTCGGCTCCTCCTAAGGACAGTACTCCTATGTTCGTCATGGGAGTCAATAACGAGAAGTATACCTCTGACTTGAAGATCGTCTCCAACGCCTCTTGTACCACCAACTGCCTCGCCCCTCTAGCTAAGATCGTCCACGATAACTTCGGTATCGTCGAGGGCCTCATGACCACCGTCCATGCTACTACCTCCACTCAGCTCACCGTCGATGGTCCTGCTAAGGGTGGCAAGGATTGGAGGGGTGGTCGCTGTGCTAGTCAGAATATCATCCCTCCTCCACTGGTGCTGCCAAAGC